TGTATAATACTATAATTGCACCGAGTGCCTACATTTAGACTACCATTAATACCATTATATTTACTATTTAGACATTAGACTTTAAAGTACCATATATCTGACTCGGGCGTCTATATTTTACTMTATTTTTAGACATGAWAATATTTTTTATATATTTCAAAAGATCAATAGTGATGAGAATAGCGATAAGCAATAATAGTGATCAGCATGCGATTCCTGAAAAAAAATCCAAGTCCCCCACGCATGCGCTTTGAGTTTTGGTATCGGAAATTATCTTGTCGCGAGATGCCTGTGATGAGAACAATAGTTAAATTAATTAATATATAAATTTATAAATTTATAAAATTATTTATTTAATTTATATTAATTTATAAATTAATTAATATTAATTAACAATAACAACAATATCCATTTCTTTATTATCTATGGTAAATTATTGATTTGTATTTGTTATCAAAATCTATGTTGTATGTATGTACGAATTTATTTTTTTCAGAATGATACGAGCATTGATAACAGTATAAATCTAAGTCATTTCAAGTATTGGTTTCCGGTGTATTTATTCATTTATCATCAGTATCAAGCAGCTATTTTATTTTATTTAAGTCTACCTTGGTATATCCGTAGGTACTATATATATATATGATCCAAATAAAATGTAATAACTTTAATGCCCAATTTGTGTGTATTTTTATTTTGTTTTATTAAAATTTAGTAACATTAAAAAATATAACAAGTCAATATTGATTATTTTTTAATATGTCATCTTATAGTAAATTGTGTTATGTGTATTAAAAAATGTTTTATATTTATATATTTTCTTATTAGAATTTAAAACTGTCAAGTTATTGAGTGTATGTTTGGTATACTGGGAAAAAGAAATAATGTTAAATTTTTGTTTTGTCTCCTTGTTATTTATGTAATATTAATATTTTACACTTGATATATATATATATATATCCACTGTGTTCAGAGTACTTACTAGTGTATGATGTTGATCAAATTGTGTTTCTTGTTATAATAATACAATTTATAAAATAAATCTAGACTAAATATCAATTCTCGCCACTTTTTAATAAGGAAATTTCATGCAGTGTGCTTTCTTTCTTTTGTAAATACTATTTAGTGATTTACTATTTATAATATATAATGACAAGACAGTACAATTTTTAGTTTTAAGGGGATATAGAATTAGTTCTGAAATAGTGGTCATTTAATACTGCTTAATAACTCATATTTTATGAATATTTTTTTGAAATGTAAATATTTTCTATAAGTCAACTTTATTTATTTTAATGAGTCTTGGTGTGTTAATATTTATGTATAATTAAATTAATGACTAATAATAAATAATACAATGCATCAATTGCTTGGGTTGGTGACTATTTTAAATTTATCTTATAGTTATGGCAGTATAACCATTTTAGTATTTTATTAATTTATATAAAAATATTTATTAGTAAGAAAGTAAAATTAACATTTTGGTGCTATAATAATTCATAGGTCAGTAATGTAATAACATTTTCAATTATAATAAACTATTAAAAATGTAAGTGTCAAAATCATCAGTAATTTTTTGTATAACACTTATTTATTTTTGAAACCTTGAATACTTTTTCAATCTCATTTGGCTTTTGAAACTATATTAGTTGGAATTTATAAATTGGCATTGATTGTACTTGTTTCTGAGTTTAAATTGTTACCATTTTTTGCATTCATTTTGATTTTTTCTATTATAGTTTGTCGCCAATTGTTTGATGGATTTATGTAGGTAACGTTTTTTTAGTGTGTAACGGCTTAATCTCCTACGAGTGCTTTGTTTACATTAGGTATAATTGTGATCGATAATGGCAATTATCGAACGTAAATACATTTCCATTGAACTTGAGGTTTGGGCATATATTTCAAGCAAACGTTATAATAGGACTCCAAGCGACCGGTATGTACCTACAAAATGTTTTGCATGCTGTAAATCTTTTAAAAAATCTTTAGCCATAATAATTTTTTTTAACGCGAAGTAAGACTCACTTTTAGGATTGTATCCAAAGCTTGTTTTTTAGGTCTTCATCGTTTAACTTTTCGTGTTCACATTTTGTTGTTTTTCATTATTTTCCCGTTCATGGACATTACCAATGTGGTTAAGAGCTAAAGTGAATTTTTCAACAAGCAATGATCCGTCGCCGTTATGAGTTTGAGAGGACTACCATAAATGGTTATTTATGCTCATTTTCCAACCTTACATCTGGATATTATTTCTCAAGTCCTTTCAATCTTTTCGACAAACTTTTCGACAATTTTTTTTTTTCATGTTCAATTTGAGGATATTTTTTAYGCAAACAATATCGAATACCTCTATGTCGGTCCGTTAGAAATAGTTAAATATCACAATTTTCTTCTTTAATTATAATTTATCGATTAACGATTCGCAAGCAAATCCCTAGAACCCATGTCTTTTTGGGCTAAATTAACACGTTCACGATCAAGGGGTAAATTTGAGTGGTCTTTATATAAACCGTGTCATAAAATGGCTTTTAATTAAACATTAACTCATTGTATCTCATAGTAATATATTTTATAATATTATTTATAAAGTATTTTCGGATATTAAGGACATGTTAGAGATGGCGGTATGTGAAATTCACTCACCGGTATTTGTTATGTATTTACATACCGGTTTCTATCGGTATACCGGTAATTCGGTATTTTTCGGTAAATACCGTCTCTTCGGTAAATACCGTTTCTTCGGTATATACCGTCTCTTCGATAATTACCGTCTCTTCGGTAAATACCGTACATTCGATAAATACCGTATTTTTGGTTTATACCGTCTCTTCGGTAAATACCGTATACATTCTGTAAATACTACATGTATTTTATTAGATCATATAAATACCGTATATTATCGCCGTGTTCCGTGTATAGTCTCAAACTTCGTTAATACGTTGAGGCTTTTACACTTCATCGTGTCGTGTTGTTTTGTGCAGACTATAGGTATATTAAATAAGTTGAATATATCTAAACTCAAACGACAAGGTCAAGTGTGCCTAAAGGCTAATAGCTCCTTTACCGGACACGGTGGTAGTAGAAACTGGAAAGTACACATTTTTAATGTGAATCG